AGCTCTCTGACCCTTGGATTCCTCAGCTACGAGGTGGGAGTGGTCACACCTACCTCACCGGATTGTGGCTGGTACAGTGCTTGGTGTACACCAGCCTCTCAGTACATGATAATGCTATTACTGCTGTTGCCAGCAGGGGTGACACTTCCTCCCTTACTACTGGTCACCCAGTCACCAGCCTGTCCCCTCCGAACAGTCCCAGGGCTCAATGGTTCTCAGCTTCCAAACCCGTGCCCCTCCCAGGCCTCTCCCCCAGACCCCTGTCCTCTCGCTGCCCCACAGAAGGGACACTAAGCCACACGCTGGGCTATTGGATCAGGGTTTCTCTGGGGCTTTCAGAAGTCAATCCACCTAAGGAGGAATGCTCAGGTGATAGCCCCTCTGCTCAACAGCGAACAGCGGGTCCCGCAGTAGGAGCTGAGTCGACGGCAGCTGCAGGGAGACACCAGCCCCAGCAGGCACAGCAAAGGCAGCACCTGACCGTGCCCTTGCTGGGTGGGCTGACTGGTTGCTGGGCGAGTGAAGCACAACAGGATCTAGTGGACTGCCAACCGGAAGCGGTGTGGACCGCACCTGCTGGTGAAGACCCGGGAGGCGTTTACGACCTGGGGACGGCAGCTTCAGGACTGGGTCCTGTGGTCACCAGCTCCGGCAAGTCCTTTCAGAGATTCCCTCTCTTGTAGGCTCCCCAGAGAATGGCTGGACAGGCAGCTTTGCGAGGTCAGTGGGGCGGATGCGGAGCTCACATAGCAAGGCACCCGCTGCGTACTAGCTGGGCATACCAATGGTTAGCACTCGGCGGGGACTAGCCTCAGCAGGAAAGGGGTCAAGAACAAGGAAATGGGGTTGGGCCTGGAGCGGAGGGAGCCTCTGAGTTTCGGGAAGTGGGAGACGGAACCTGAGGGTGCCAAAGTCATTCTTGCCAACTGTGTGAAGTGGGTCTTTGAGAGGGCACCCCGAGGCCTATTTCACGGGCAATGCAGTTCATGGGCTGTACACAAACCCAAATGTGGTCTCTGAGAGAGGAGGAGAAAATCTGCCACTTGTGTTTACAGGAACCCCTCCTGCGGTAGGTGGCTTTGGAATGTCTGCCCAGACCACGTCCCCCACGCCCACAAGGAAGACCCCCTGGCAACCATGTTTGTGTAACACGACCCGACCCCTGGGCCTTTCGTGGTGGTTTCTGGGAGGGAGAACATGTAAACTGGAAGCAGCACACAGGGCGGCAGGCAGGGCTGGGCTGCAGAGAGGGAGCAAGCAGACCAGAGGAGGCAGCCGGGAAGGCCACGCAGACCCGGAGAGTGGACTAGGAGGGCCCTGCGCCCTGCACTTGAGCCTGGCTCTTCGTTCTGCTTTGGGACTGTGAGAAACTACTTTGTTCTAGTAATATAAACGGTCTCTCTCCATCCCCTCTTTCTCCCTCTCCCTCTTCTTGCCCAAGGCAGCTCAAGTAGGTTTCTGATACTGTGATACAATTACCTTCTTGATACAATTACCTTCTTGATCGCCTTTGTATGAAATTCTGGGAGGTGGAGATTTTCTTCTGTGTACCTTCTTGAAAACTGTAAGTGCGGCCATGCGCAGTGGCTCACACCTATAATCCTAGCACACTGGGAGGCTGAGGCGGGAGGATCGTTTGAGCTCAGGAGTTCAAGACCAGCCTGAGCAAGAGTGAGACCCTGTCTCTACTAAAAACAGAAAGAAATTAGCTGAACAGCTAAAAATATATAGAAAAAATTAGCCAGGCATGGTGGTGCATGCCTGTAGTCCCAGCTACTTGGGAGGCTGAGACAGAAGGATTGTTGGAGTTTGAGGTTGCTGTGAGCTATGCTGATTCATGGTACTCTAGCCTGGGCAACAGAGTGAGTCTCAAAATCTGTCTCTAAAAAAAAAAAAGAAAGAAAGAAAGAAAAGAAAACTGTAAGTGTAAGGGTTATAGAAGAATGAGTCACTAAGAAGGAACAGGGAGGCTCACACCTCTAACCCTAGCACTCTGGGAGGCCGAGGCTGGAGGATTGCTTGAGCTTAGGACTTTGAGGCTGCAGTGAGCTATGATGACTCCACTATACTCTACCCAGGGCAAGGGAGTGAGATTCTGTCTATTAAATAAAGAGGAAATTGAATCCCCCTCCTATCTCTCCTCCTTTGAAAGAAAGAAAGAAAGAAAGAAAGAAAGAAAGAAAGAAAGAAAGAAAGAAAGAAAGAAAGAAAGAAAGAAAGAACAGGAGTCAGTGGAAGAGAAGGGAGTGAAGCAAAGGCAGGGAAGACCTAGGGAAAGAAAGGAAGGTCAGCAAAATGCACTTGGCCCTGGCCCTGGAGAAGGGAAGGAGCTCAGCTGGGCCTAAGGGGCTGGCAGAGTCCAGCAAGTGCATGGCTGGCCCCCAAAAGTACTCTGGCCTCCAAAAGTGGATGGAGCCGAGGCTAGAGAAGATCTTGGTGTGTTGGGGGGTGGGGGAAGATCCTACCAAGGCTAGTTGAGAAATTCAAATAAGAGACCCTCAGCCTTTCCCCTCTGGGTGCCCCATGCCACTCTGCTCCTCTGGGCCTGGGAAGAGCAGCAACCTCAGTGTGAAATCAGAAAGGCCCAGCATTTGTAAGAGACCCTGCAGAGAAAAAAGGAGCCATCTCGTTGGAGCTGGGGTGGGGGTGGGGTGGCAGATTTGGACATTTCTGGAGAGCCAAGATGGTAAAAGGCAATTAATTGTACTGCATCCATTATTCATGATTTAAGATGTATGAAATGTCTCCTGGTCTTCAATTCATATGTTGTCCTTATTGTTTTGTTTTAATAAATATAAATGCAGCAAAGTGACAACACTGTCATTTATAACCAAAACAGACAGCTGCTGCGTCTCCCTTCTCCGCCAAGAGGGGCACAGAAGCCTAATTATGTCAGTGGGAAACAGAATCGGTTGGTTTTTTTTTTTGTTTTTTTTTGAGACAGAGTCTCACTCTGTTGCCCAGGCTAGAGTGAGTGCGGTGGCGTCAGCCTAGCTCACAGCAACCTCAAATTCCTGGGCTCAAGCAATCCTCCTGCCTCAGCCTCCGGAGTAGCTGGAACTACAGGGGCGTGCCACCACATTCACTATTTTTACTAGAGATGGGATCTCGCTCTTGTACAGGCTGGTCTGGAACTCCTACCTCAAGCCATCCTGGATCCTCCCACCTCAGCTTATAGGCATGAGCCACCACAACATGCAACACCCGCCCCCTCCAGCACCCCACTCAAGCTGAATCTTGATCCTGCTTCCTTCCTCTTACAGAGGCCAATGGGGAGGGAGAAGGAAGAGAAAGAAACTTCCAGGCCTCTTTCAGTTCTACTATGCTGCAAAAGGGCTAGACTTAGAGATCGTCCTTGTGTTTAGTTCAACACATTATGTGCCTTTAATTGTGTGAAAACAGGCCCTGAGCCAAGGCGAGTGGTGGGGACAGAAGCAAACTGATGTGCCAGATGGAGTGGGGGAGGGAGCGTGTGTGCTGGGGACAGCTGGGGACAGCTGAGGACAGGTTTGGGGGCTCGGGGGGTGCAGAAGCTGAGCAGTGGGGAGATGGAAGGAGACTAGGGAGGGCAGTCAGGGTGGGTGGGGGTGGGAGGCTAGGACTGCAGAAGAAGGTGGCCAGAGAATTTACAAGAACAGGGTATCTAATATCTCATTTAAAAAATTGTGTATCTCTGCAATGTAACCCCCTCCCCTCTCATGGTTCTGAACCTTCAGCAAAGCCTGCTGCTCACATATGTGCCCCAAATTACCAATATTGAGGAAACCACAGAAGGACGGAACTCACGCTTGAGCTGGCCCAGAGTTGAAAGCAGAGGACAGATACAGAAGGTGAAACAGCGAGACCAAGAGCAGACTGGTCTACAGAGGCTTCGAGCCAGAGCAACATGGAGACTAGAAGCCTCTGGAAATACAGACATTTAGGCAAAGGCATGGACCTCTTCCAGAACATGGGAGAGGAGGCTGGAGTCCATTTTAGCTAACTGTCAAGGAATAAGGTTATAAAAACTTTATATGAGGACTTTCATTGGTTCACTTGCAAATTCAGGCTCTCAACCCAAGTCCTACATGCACACATTTACTCTGGAAAAGTCACAGGCCCTGGGTGACTTGGTTGACACCCCTTTGAGCATGTAGATGGTAAAATAAACTAATTTTGCCATGCTCAAGACAGCACAAATATATAATAGAAACCAATTAACTACCATTATTAGGCAGGTTTGGGATATGCTGAGGGTGAAATCATGCCCCCAGAAACATCAGTAAAGTCTAGAAAGGATAAAATGTCATAATCCTGCTCTAAGGATTCCAGTCCTTTTTACTCTTCTTAAGATTGATAATTTTCTTTCCACAGGAAGGAACCAAAGACTGATTTTTAATTAGACCAGAACCGATTTCTGCAGCAGCAGAGGAAGGCCTCAGGGCCTTTGCTGTCCTGGGAGAAAGCTTCCTGGGGTCTTCGAGCTGTGATGCAGGAGGACTGGACAATTCTGAACCATTCCTTTAAGCTCGAGCAGGGAGAGAGGGTGGAGGTAAGATTCAGTTTACTGAGAACGATGCCTCAGGCCCAACAGCCGGTTCATTATTGGTTCTAAGGGCAACGGCCATGAGGCCCCTAGGAATTTGGAAATGAGGAAAATAAGTGTGAGAAGTAAACCATGAAATCAACACAGAATGGATGAGAATGGAGGTCTCAAAGTCCCCGGAATGAGACCGAGGGCTCCAATCTGACCGAAACATGTTGCATTCCTGTGGTACATTTGTTAGAATTAATGAACCAATACTGATTACATTATTGTTAACTATTGTCTCTAGTGTACGTGAAGGTTCACTCTTCCTGCGTCAGCGAGCAGGTGAGCAATGGAGGCAGAGCAGAGAGGCGCTGGGGGCAAAGCTGAGCACGTGGGGCGTTACGTGCATTCTCCAGAGCATCCCCGCTCCTGGGTGCCTGGACCCCCCAGCAGGAAGGCTCCCCCCAGAATGCGCCCTCAGGGAACTCACGAGTCCTGCTGATGAGATCCATGCTGCTGTCCCGGCTGCTGGCCTGGCTCCCCGGGCCAGTCAGCTCCTGCTGTGGCTTGTCCGGCCGCAGGCCCCAGCGGACGTTTTGCAGGCCTGAAAGACGTCCTTTCTGGTCACCTTTCCTTTGGGGGTAAGTGGGGACTGGAAACCCAATGTGGATAGAAGGGCAGTCTGTGGGCACAACACAAAAGGCGGGGGAGGCAGAGTTACTGAAAATTGAGATTTTTTCCCCATAATATCCACCAGTTACAGAAACAGGGCCCCAGAAACAAAATGGAAGACACGGGGTGCTGGAGTGGGCACTGCCCAAGGCACGGGGTTGACAGAATTCCGTTTCTGAACCAACTCAGCAGTTGCCAGAAGGGATACCGTCGAGGTGTAATTAGGGTTCTGTTAGAATGAATAGAATTCTCATCTCCCCAGTCTTGTTTGTCCAGAGCAGTGATTACTAGACATGGCTTATGACATGTGGCGCAGGAGACAGTCCCTCCATGGGTCACAGATGTAGTTCCAAATGCCAAGTCCTTTCTGTTGTTGGTATGGGAAAGGCATATGCATTTCCACTGAGTGCCATTTTTACTAACAATAGCACTCACCAGAAAACTATTTATCAGAAAAATTAGTTATTAGGAGTTTCTTAAAGCTGAATTTATAAAATAAAATTTTCAAGAACTAGAGTTACCAAGAACCCTAATTCAGAATTCCACGAAAAAGCCTGGTATGTAATCCTGGGTAACATACGAACCCCACTTGGTCAGTGCCCACAAAGGCAGCTGGAGTGTCCCTAGCTCTCAGGAAGGACATTGTTACCAGTTTAACATGTGTTGCCTAAAGTAGATCAACAATTTTTTAAAATAATTGATATATTTCTTAGTACAGTTTTAGATTTACGGAATAATTGAGCAGATAGTCCATAGAGTTCAATGACCTATCCCCACTCCACTACCAGTCTCCCCTGTTATTAGCATCTTGCATTAGCGGTGCATCTGTTACAAGTGATGAACCAATATTGATACTTTATTACTAACTATAGTCTGTAGTTTACATTAAGGTTCATTCTTCCTGTTCTATAGCTACTTCCATGGGTTTTGACAAATATAGTAACATGTATCAACAATTACTGTATCATATAGAACAGTTTCACTACCCTAAGTAGCCTCTGTGTTTAATCTATTCATCCCTCTCTTTCCTCCCCCAACCCCTTTTTACTTACTAGATTCATAATTTTTTACTTGCTAGATTCATAATTTTGTGTTTTCCAAAATGTCATAGAATCGGAATCATGAAGTATGAAGCCTTTTTCATACTGGGTCTTTCAATTAGCCATACATATTTAAGTTTCCTCCATGTGTTTTCATGGCTTAAGGGCTCACTTCTTTTTATCTCTGAATAAATTCCATTGTATGGGTGTGCCATAGTTTGTTTACCCACTCTCCTATCCTGGAGGTTTCTAGTTTTTGGTGATTATGAATAAAGCAGCCATAAACATTCATATGCAGGCTTCTATGTGGACATCATTTTCATCTCAACTGGGTAAATACCTAGGAACACCATTGCTGGTTCAGATGGCAAGACTATGTCTAGCTTTGCAAGAAACTGCCAAACTGTCTTCCAAAGTGGTTATACCATTTACATTCTCACTGGCAATATAAGAGTATTCCTGCTGCTCTGCGTCCTTGTCAGCATTTGGTTTTGTCAGAGTTTTTTTAATTATTATTTTAGCTGTTCTAATTTGTGTGTTGTGGATCTCATTGTTGTTGTATTTTTTGTTTTTTGCTTTTTTTTTTTTTGAGACAGAGTCTCACTCTGTTCCCCAGGCCAGAGTGCCGTGGCATCAGCCTAGCTCACAGCAACCTCAAACTCCTGGGCTCAAGCAATTCTCCTGCCTCAGCCTCCCGAGTAGCTGGGCCTACAGGCATGTGCCACCATGCCCGGCTAATTTATATATATATATATTTTAGTTGTCCAGCTAATTTCTTTCTATTTTTTTAGTAGAGATGGGGTCTCGCTCTTGCTCAGGCTGTTCTTGAATTCCTGAGCTCAAACGATCCACCCACCTCGGCCTTCCAGAGTGCTAGGATTACAGGCGTGAGCTACCTACCACGCCTGGCCTGTTGTTTTAATTTCCAATTCCCTAATGACAAATGATATTGAAGATCTTTTCATATGCTTATTTGCTATCTGTAGATCTTCTTTGATGAGGTGCCTGTTCAGATCTTTTGCCCTTTTTTTTTTTTTTTTTAAATAGGGTCTTGCTCTGTTACCTGGGCTAGAGCGCAGTGGTGTGATCATAGCTCACTGCGAACTCAAATGCCTGGGCTCAGGCAATCCTTCTGCCTCAGCCTCCCAAGTAGTTGGTACCTTTTTGTCACAGCTGTTTGACCAATAGAGAAATAGATTAATAGAGAAATAGATAACAGGCATGCACCACCACACCCAGCTAATTTTTCTATTTTTTCATAGAGACAGGGTCTCACTCTTGGCTCAGGCTGGTCTTGAACTTGTGACCTCAAGCAGTCCTCCCACTTTTGCCTCCCAAAGTGCTAGGATTACAAGCATGAGCCACCGCACCTGGACCTTTTGCCCATTTAAATTAGGTTGTTTGTTTCCTTATTGTTGAATTTTAAGAATTCTTTGTATATTTTGGGACACAAGTCCTTTAACAGATCAATCTTTTGCAAATATTTTCTCCTAGTCTGTGGCTTTTATTTTTATTTTGTTTATTTTATTTATTTGTTTATTTTGTTTATTTTATTAAGATAACTGCAATCTCACGTTCAGAGTGGCTTTTCTTTTCATTTTCTTAATAGTGCCTTTCATGAAGTAGAAAATTTTAATTTTAATAGAGTCCAAGTTATCAATTTTTTCTTTCATCAATTTTGCATTTTGTATTGTATATAAAAAGTCATTGCCAAACCTAAAGTCATCTAGATTTTCTCCTAGGTTGTCTTCTAGAAGTTTTATAATTTTGCGTTTTACATTTAGGTTTAAAATCCACTTTGAGTTAATTTTTCTAAAATGTGTTGCTTGCTGGGTGACATGGCTCATGTCTGTAATCCTAGCACTTTCGGAGGCCAAGGCAGAAGGATCGCTTGAGGCCAGGAGTTTGAGACCAGCCCGGCCTGGATTCATTTTTTGACATATGGATGTCCAGTAGTTCCAGCACCATTTGTTGAAAAGTCTATGCTTTTTCGATTTGCCTTTGCTTCTTTGTCAAAGATCAGTTGACAATATTTGTGTGAGTCCATCTCTGGGCTTTCTATTCTGTTCCACTGATCAATTTGTCTATTCTTTTGCCAATATCACACTGTCTTGATTATATATAGTAGCTTTATAATAAATCTCAAAGTTGGGTAGTGTCAGTTCTCCAACTTCGTTCTTCCTCAGTATTGTGTTGGCTATTCTGGGTCTTTTGCTTTTTCATATAAACTGTAAAATCAATTTGTTTGTGTCCAGGGCCAGGTGCAGTGGCCCCACGCCTGTAATCCTAGCACTCTGGGAGGCCGAGGCAGAAGGATTGCTCTAGGTCAGGCGTTTGAGACCAGCCTGAGCAAGAGCAATTCCCCCGTCTCTACTAAAAATTAGCTGGACAACTAAAAATACATAGACAAAATTAGCCAGGGCCAGGCGCGGTGGCTCACGCCTGTAATCCTAGCACTCTGGGAGGCCGAGGTGGGCAGATTGCTGACGTCAGGAAGTAAAAACCAGCCTGAGCAAGAGTAAGACCCGTCTCTACTATAAATATGAAAGAAATTAAGGCCCAACTAGAGTATATATAGAAAAAATGACGCCCGGGCATTGGGGCAATGCCTATAGTCCAGCTATCGGAACTGACGGCAGCAGAGTTGCTTGAGCCAGGAGTTGGCGTTGGGTTGAGTAGGCTGACGAACATGGCACTCACCTCTAACCCCTGGGCAACCAAAGTGAGACCCTGTCTCAAAAAAGAAAAGAAAAAATTAGCCATCATGATGATCGGCCTGTCGCCAGCTATGAGTGGAGTAGGATATGCGTCGAGCCCAGAGTTTGAGGTTGCTGTGAGCGAGGGACACCTGACGGCGTACTCTCATCCCACAACACAGTGAGACCTCTGTCTCAAGCAAAACACACACAGCAAAACAATTTGCAGTATCCAAAAAGAGAGTAACTTTTTAGAACTCTTGACTCGGAATTGTACTTTTTTTATTTGATGACAGAGCTCACTCTGGCGCGAAGCTAGAGTGCACTGGGTCAGCCTATTTCACAGCAACCTCAAACTCTTGGCTCTCAATCGATCCTCCTGCCTCAAGCCTCCTGAGTTAGCTGGACTCCCAGAGCGCCACCATGCCGGTAATTTCTATGTATTTTTAGTTGTCCAGTGAATTTCTCTAGTTTAGAGAGACGGAGTTGCTCGTTGCTCAGGCTGCTTGAACTCCTGAGCTCAAAGGATCTCCTCACCCTCAGCATCCCAGAGGTGCGGTTAGGATTAAGGTGTGAGCCACCGTGTGCCACGAGACTTGTATTTGAATCATATATAATCAAGTTGGGGAGAACGTACTTTAACAAGATGAAGCTTCCTATTCAGAACAAAAACTACTCTCTCCAGTGAACGTATTAGATCTTGATTTCCTTCATCAGCCATAGTTTGCTCACATAAATCCGTAGTATATAGTTCTGTTAGTTTATGCCTAAAATTTTTGTCGATGTTAAGCAAAGTATGTCTAAATTTCAACAGTCCAATTGCTGGTATGCAGAAAAGCAGATTGACTTTTTTTTCTTTGAGACAGCGGATCTTGCTTTGTTGCCCGCTAGAATGAGTGCCGTGCATTTCAGACTAGTTTACAGCAACTCAAACTCCTGGGCTCAAGCAATCCTGCTGTCTCATCCTCCCGAGTAGCTGGGACTACAGGCATGTGCCACCATGCCCGGCTAATTTCTTCTATATATATTCGTTGGCCAATAAATTTATTTCTATTTATAGTAGAGACAGGGTCTCGCTCTTGCTCAGGCTGGTTTCGAACTCCTGACCTTAAGCAATCCGCCCGCCTCAGCCTCCCAGAGTGCTAGAGCAATTGACTTTTGTACCTTAACCTTGTATCCTGTGACCTAATATGTAATAATATTATAATATAATTGCTTACTAGTTCCAGGAGTTTTCTGGTCAATTTTTTGGTTATTTTCTACATAGACAGTTA